GATATATATGCTTACAAATATAATATAAATGATTAATCAATTAATTTAGATATCAATAATGTTTGTTTGTTTATTGTAGCCCCAGAATATTTTATTGAGTAGTGTATGTCCCCTCGGTGATATAAAAATAGTTGACTTTGGTTTGTCTCGGAAGATTGGAAATTTTGGTGAATTACGAGAAATTGTTGGAACACCTGAATATCAAGGTAATTTGCACATATTATTTGAAAGCATTTTCCCTGACATTGCACTAGCCAGACTTTTAGAAGAATATCAGTTCCTTTGCTCTCAAGACTGAAACAAACTTTCTTTTTTAGATGTTCTTCAAGTGACCATAAAACATGCTTTTTTCTCTAAATGGAAAAAGTATAGCTTCAAAATAAGCTGGAGAAATTGTGACCCTATAGATGCATAACCATTTTTAATAGAAGATGAATGCCCCATAATAAAAACACAAAATAACCATAAAATTATGTCTGTAGTGGACCTGATTTACTTCTGTAATCAATTATGATGTGTTTGTTGGATGATTTCCCTGTTGTATTCTGAACAGTCTTCAGTCACTTGAAGAAGGGTGATATGGTCTCTTTGCAAATAAAACAAAGAGTGCATATAGAAATGGTGTATAAATATAATACAAAGATCTATATATCACAATTTCAGAGTATATACAAATAATTATAAAGAAAATAATCTTCCTGTAACAGGTATATTGTATTAAATGAATACTTCCCCCCCCCTTTCTCTGTGTGAAATGATAACATAATTTATCACAGAAGGTTCATTGAGTGGAGGAGGGTTTACTGGCAAAATACACATTTAGTGGTATTACTAGGCACCTCCCAATAGTTGAAAGAGGTCCTTCAGACAATGCATATGTCCTAGTTACCTCACAACTGAATTACTGCAATGCAATTTATGTGGTGCTGCCCTTGGCGATCATCTGGAAGCTACATCTGGTTGAAAATATAATGGTGCAAGTAGTAATAGAAGTTTGTTAGCATGCTGGTGTGTCACCACTGCTAACTGCCTTGGTTACCACTTGACTTCCAAGTGCAGTTCAAGGTACCGATCATCACCTATAGCAGTGGTCCCCACCTTTTGTGACTTGGCAGCCCAGTTGGGAGGAAGAGGGGAACTGGGCCATATGAGTGGTGGACCATCATACACACGCATGCACATGCAGCTTGACTACAGCAGTTGAGCTGTGCACACATGCGTTGGCTCACTGGCCCACCACTTGTAATGGGCTTGGCTGGGGGTTGGGGATCCCTGATCTGTAGCTCTGTATGTCATGAGGACTGAATAGGTGCATTCTAGGGGGAAAAAAAGATTATTTCTGATTTGCACAAATGAAATATTAGCTAAGGCAACATTACTAGAAATAAATGGGAAAAATTGGAAGAGTTGGCAAGAGTAAGAATATTGAAAGATTTCTAGGCTTACATAGCATACTATAGTTTACAAAGCACAGTGGATAAGTTTATACTAAGCTAAATAACATCATGGCTTACTGTATTGGTTGAATCAAGGCAGTAAAGGTAGTCCTTGCGTTATGAGTGTAATAGAGCCTGACCATTCCACTCATAACTCGAAAACTCATAGAATGAATCTCATACCTCGAATGAGATCACTCTCTTGTTAAAACACACGCAGCTTGTTAAGCGAACATGAGGTATCTCAGGGTGGGGAAGGCCATGGAGGGCCTAGTGATGGAACAGGACCCCAAGGCCTCCCCACCCACTAAGATACCGCATGCTTCCCCCTCCCTTCCTGCCATGTCGGCTCACCTGGAAAAGATCCGTCTCCTCTCTGCTGCGGTTCCTGCTGCCGCCCAGATCTGAGGCCGGGGGGTGCTTCCGTGCCCCCCCACGGCCTGATTCGGGCTCCAAAGGTCTTTTCCAGGCTGCTGCCACCCAGATTTCAGGCCGGGGAACGCTTCGACACACCCCTGCAGCCCGATCTGGGCTCTGGAGGCCTTTTCCAGGCCGCTGCGGCCTGGATTTCAGGCCGGTGAATGCTTCCACAGCTCCCCCTGCGGCCCTGGAAAAGGTCTCCAGAGCCCAGATCAGGCTGCAGGGGGAGGGGGGCACGGAAGCATCGCCCGGCCTTAGAGCAGTGTGGTAGCAGCCTGGAAAATGCCTCTTGAGCTAGATCAGGCCACCGCAGAGCACAGAAGCATCCCCTGGCCTCAGATCAGACCGCAGTGACCTGGAAAAGGCCTCCAGAGCCCAGATCAGGCTGCAGGGGGGGTGCGGAAACGTTCCCCGGCCTGAAATCTGGGTGGCAGCAGCCTGGAAAAGGCCTCAGGAGCCTGGATCGGGCCATGGGGGGTGCGGAAGCATTCCCCAGCCTCAGATCCGGGCCGCAGTGGCCTGGAAAAGGCCTCTGGAGCCCCGATCCAGCCTCCAGAGGCACGTGGAAGTGTCCCCCAGCTTTGGTTCTGTTCTCTGTGCAGAGAACAGAGGCCTAAAGTACCATGAGATCTTACGTTACTTTAGGCCTCCATTCTCTGTGAATGCACCGAAGGCCTGGAGCAGCTAAAAAAAGCAAAGAATCTTGATCTTCGTAGGGTGAGTATTGAAGACCTGGTGCCTAGGGAGACCCGGGGTGGGGATGGGGAGGGAGGGAATAACCAGGGTGAATGTTGCAGAGCCACTGCGGTCGCTTGTAAGGGCGAATGACTGCTATGGTGCTGCAATATTCGTAACTTCAGGACTTGCTTGTAAGCACTAGGGGACGCTCATCACATAACTTTGAACAAGCGTTAAATGAACGCTCATAATTCAGGGATTACCTGTATGGAATAAAGGGTTAGTTTATACAGCCATGCTGGTAGATAAATAATATCTTTGGTGTCACTCTTGGTGTATTGTAAAATAGTGTGGCAGATTAGCAATTATCTTGAACATACTATAAAATTATTTTAACACTGTATTTAATGGTACCTTTTCCTTCTAGCACCAGAAGTCTTAAATTATGATCCCATTACTACAGCAACAGACATTTGGTAAGGTAATTTCTTATAAGATTAAAGCAACTTTAAATACCTCGATTGTATAGTTTCATCTTAAAAGCTTATCAATTTTCTCATTAGTCTTTTAAAATCCTTTTTGAACACTTCTGGCCTTTGGGATCAAGTTATATCTTACTGAGCTAGAAAGTGAATTTGAGGCAGATAGTTATTTCCTGCGACTTCTTATTCTAAAGTGTAAACAGCATAAAACAGAGATTTCCATGTTCTTTTGTTTCAGTATATTTAAGCATCACCTGTTGGTGATTAATTTAAATGAGAGCTGTCATCTATGAGTATATTAATTAAAATTTATTAAATAAATAAATTACAGAAATTACTGTTCTGTATCAAACTGGTGGTGGTTTGTTGTCTTTGCTTTTCTGACTTTCCCTCAATGATCAGAAATACCATTATACTGTCTTATACTTGAATTCTCTATTCAGTGTAATATGAATTTCAGGTGAAACAACTTTACTGTGTAAACCACTTTTCCAGCTTGGCGGCCTGGTCTGGTGTGTGTGGGGGGGAACATGTGAGTGGCAGGTTCATGCATGCGTGCACAGCTCCATTTGTGTGAGCAGCGGGCACTTGTGCTCACATGCTCCGCTTGCACAAGTGGAGCTTCACATGTGAGCGCAAGCACCCTCTGTTCACGCGAGTGGAGCTTCGTGCGCGCTTGCCCATCTCACCCACGGTCCGGTTTCAAATAGGCTGTGGCCAGGAGTTGGGAACCCCTGGTATAAATCATTCTAGCCCGAATCGTTAACTCAATGCTCTTCCCTTCCTTCAGCTCCCTCATAGACTTACAGTTTGTAAATCTATAAAATGCATATACATTCCAATCTGGATGTTTTGATACGCATACTGAAAGTCTCTGTGTCTGGATTTCTAGATATTGCGATAAATCAGGAGTAGGCATGCAGTAATTCAGATGCAATCTTTCATGTCCTCGTTTGTATTGCCCTTTATCCCAAGAGTGTGACACCGAAATTTGGTTGCAAAATGACTATATTTTGGCAGTGTGATTTTGGATTATGTTTGTGTCTTTGAAACAATGTTGACTCCTGGCAACTGCCTGGAGCAGTTCCAACAGATTTTTTTTTTTTTTTACAAGATTTTCCAAAGTGTTTTGTCGTTACCTTCTTCATAGGGTTGAGAGAGAAGTAACTGGCTTAAGGTTACCAAACTGGCCCAAGGAGAGACTAGAATTCATGGTCTCATGGTTTCTAATCTGGTGCCCTTAGCCCCTATAGAAAACTGGCTTTGATGAGTTTGGATATAGATGATAAAAACAGTTGCTTATTTTCAGAAGCAATCCTCCTCTCATTCCCACTTCAATAACCCAATCCCACTTCAAATAAATCACTTTTTGCTGATTTTAGAACTCCAGCAGAATATTTTCTTAAGTCCTGTTCATGAAAAATGTGCTTGAATTGGAGACCTTGAGCCCCCAAACTCTGTTCATGTCTTCACTAATTTCAAGTCTGATATCTGGAAGTTTTGTGTGTGATTCACAGTATCTATACAAGTACAATGGAATGTGTATGGGACTTGCTTCTACAGGTATTCACTGTAACAATTACTTTTTGGATTGAATATCAGGCAGGTGACTTCCCTTTGGCTTATTGCAGAATTAGATTGTGTCCTTAGCATGGGACACGCTTGCCAGGATTTGTAAAGTCTTTATGAAAAGGCTTTTGTTTCTTATGTCATCAAGTTACATTTGTTATAAGACACTGATGAGACAACTATCCTGGTGCCTGATCCCCTGTGTGGAAAATATAAGCAAAACACTAAATATTTCAGGAATTTATTTTATCAGATCTGTAATCCAAGTATATGAAAACTTTAGTATACTTGGAATGACTTTCTCTGACAAGTAAATGAAAAAGCAGTCAAAAATATTTTAGCATCAGTTACTTATCTGCAAGAAATATTTTAATTTGTAACATCCATGAAAAAAAGTATACCTTCTCTAATTTCAGGAGTGTAGGTGTAATCTCATACATGTTGCTTGTACATGAATCTCCATTTATGGGAGCAGATAAACAGGAAACATACCTCAACGTTTCTCAAGTCAATGTGGATTATTCAGAAGAAACATTTGCTTCCGTTTCATCATTGGCCAGAGATTTCATCCAAAAACTCCTTGTTAAAAATCCTGAGTAAGTTTATATGGAAGGATCTAGAGGGATAGAGAAAATATTTTTACATTAATATACTATTAGAAAGAAAGGCAGTGTAAGGACAATATTTTGATTCATAATGGGCAAGAGGGCTTTGGTTCCATCATGGGCTTCTTACTTCTACTTGTTTATCACCCAGGAAGGGAAATGTTTGAAATAGGGGGCATTACAGAGGTAGCAATAACTGGTCAATCTTGTTGACACTACATTAGTACAGAGGTAGGGGGCTTTTCATGATTTTTTTTTCCACCTCTATCAGTATTTGTTCCTGGCTGATAAATTTCTGAAATGTAGGATAAAAGAGTTGATTTAGGGCAGAGGTCCCCAACCTTTTGGGCACCAGGGACCGGTTCTGTGGAGAGAGGTTTTTCCGCGGATCGGACGGAGCATGATACTGCCTGCATCCTGGGGATGGGGCTTTGCTTGACTGCGCAGCCCAGTTTCTGGCATGCCGCGGCCCGGTGCTGGTCCACAGACCGGGGGTTGGGGATCCCTGATTTAGGGTAACTAACTTTTGTTTAGGATTACCAAGTTTTCTGAAGAAGGTGGTAGCAGGTTTTGAAGTTGTTATGGAGGAGAATAGAATGAACCCTCTTTCTTTTCCTTTTATATCCTGTCAAATCTAGTGGACTATTTGATAGTCTGTGGCAGTACTAAATGGTAGTGAACTATCCATTTTTGTAACTTGTAACTCAATTGTAGCTTAAGTTCCATATCTTAAATCTACATATCTCTTCTTTTACTTTGTAGAGAACGACCAACAGCAGAGGCTTGTCTGTCTCACTCTTGGCTTAGACAAGGAGAATTCGTATTGTGGTATAGCCCTGAAGAAACCCCCAGTTCTTCTCCAGCATTTGATAATATGAATAAGAGCATAGAAGAGAGAATTAATAACAGGTCGATGTCCAATGGAGCATGCATTGAGCAAGAAGATAAAGAGAATATTCCAGAAGATAGCAGTATAGTCTCCAAACGATTCCGGTTTGATGATTCTTTGCAATATTCTCAAGAACTTGCAACAGACTTCGTATGTTAACAAATGCACTCCTGCAGGTTATCTTGAATTGTATTTATGATTCTAAATTAATCTGGTAGCACGTGGCTTGAGATTATAGCTTGGCCACGACTGCATTGTTGTTATTCTGGAAATGCACTTTCAGTTGATCTTGTTTGGGCCCTTCTTTGTGCTGCCATTGCTGGCAATGGGCATGACCCCTGGGATGCTGGAGTCTTGGCATCTGAAGTGGCTCGTTTTTGGAGGCAAACAGGTAATGGGGTATATTTGCACTTTCTACATTCAAAACAATGGCATTTTGTTCTGATCATTGATAAAGTAGGCAAGAAGAGTATTTTTAAAGTTAGTAATAGAGCCAAGTTCTAAGCCAAAGAGTGATGTGATAATACATAATACATTTGTATTGTAATTGTAACTATATGAACTTGGCAGAGGGAAGGAATGAATCCTTTTGTTCATTCCTAGAAGTACAATCTCATGCCGTCATTGTTGAAAAAGTCAAATTGGTAATGGTATATAGTATACTCCAGTAAGCCTTTTTTCAAGCCTACGTTTTTTAGTTGGACTAGTCACTGGGACTGAAGTGCTTGAACTGGGTTCCTGATTAGCCACCCGTTTTGGTTTTTTTTTTTTTTTTTTTTACTCAGAAGGGGCCTTGTCCCCATTTGTGGGAGAGTGAGTTTTCAATTGTGGATCAGTTCTCATGTGGAACATAAATTTGTGTTCACATTCATTTTTTTTATTACAGATATAATTTTTGGATTGAATTGAATGCATACTTAGTTTTGAAATCTTCCATTTCTTCTTTATGTAAATAAGATGGAAGAGATTGAAAGATACTTCTGGTGCCAAAAAAACCCAACAACAACAACAGTCAACCCTGCATTTTTTCCTTTAGGAAGTTATGTTTTGTCCATGCCCAATATCGTGCTATTTGGAGATGATAACCTGTGTATTATTATGAATTCAACAAATCAGATATTGTGAGGTTTAAATTTGAAAATGAGATCTTCCAGAAAAATGTGCAGGGTCAGGTAATGGTATTAAATTATCTTCTCTCAAATTAAAAAATATAATTATTTCTGTGCTACGTAAATTGAAACTGCTTATCTTGTCCAACAAAGATGATAGGTATAGCACAATCTGTGAACAGAGAAGTAAATCCCAATTTGTTCATGGATTTTACTTCCAAGGAAGTGGTGCAAAAAAAAAATTGCTGACTGAAATAATGTAATGGCAATATGAATATTTCATTAATATTCATTAGTATAAATAAAGCAAAGAAAAATAGAGAAAAAAAGAATCAGTCTTTATGACATTAAATATCTAATTAATTCAGACGTACATTAATGCCCAGTCCTGAAATGTGCCATGTTAGGGAATTAGATTATGGTTTGCTCTTGGTTTACTAGCCTCATCTCACAACTAACAAGATGAACTGCATCCAAAAGGGATGATGCAGAAAGGCAAAAAAATGGTGCAATTTCAAGACCACAGTCTAAAATTAGTACAAAATTTCAATACTGAAAGCCATATTTTCTTCTGATTTTCAGTTAAAAGCCAATATGCAACGCATGGGTTCCCCTGCCCATAGATACATTAATCTAATTTAATTTTTAGCATTGGTACGTTTAGGAAGTCTTAAAAAAAAGGATCATAATAATTAAGATTAATATATTTTAGTAAGAAAGAAAGATAAGAGAAAGAGCATGCCACGATAATGGTTATTATAGCACTTTATAAAAAAAGTATATGATACAATAAATATTTTTGTTGTGGTTTTTTTTAAGTTTACATTTCTCACCCTTTCCTTCCGGTCTTAAATCTTTTTTAATATTTTGAATACATCAGTTTTGCTTCCAGTTGACAGAACTTTTGAGATTTTATAAACATTTGTATATATATGTAAATTTGGGATATCACTGGAATTGACAGTTCTAAATTTTGAATATATCTAATTTTGTAAGTTTTCCTAGTTAATGCGTACAGTTGTATATAATTTTATTGGAATTATAATTGCTCTCTGAATTCTTTGTTTTGTGGTCAATATCATTGAGACTTTATAAGTGGTTACTGGCACAGAATGAATTTTAAAAGGGTTATTTCTGAATTAAATGAAAAAATGAACTGTTAAAAAGAAAAATAAATAATAATAATAATAAAAGAATAAAAAAAAGAATAATTAAAAGTAGGAAAGGGTTAAATCTTGATTCTCACAACATTTTATGAATATAGGCCTAAAGCTTCATCTGGAAGGCCTCATAATCTGAATTATTCCCCCCCCCCAAAAAAGTTATAGTTCAAAAGATATTTTTGATTTATGATGTAATCCAGTTAATTTTTCTGCTGGGTGGCATCCCTGTCCAAAAATAAATTATCCAAACATGGAGCTTTTTTTATACTCATGACAATTGATTAAATATCAACTTGCTTACTGAACTAATGGCCAATGATTAATATTTTATATCAGATGCTCTAGGTATAGCGAAACTTCATTTTAACTGATTTAATTGCACAGAGGTGATGGATTCATTGTTCATGAATGTCTGGTAAATTAACTAGGTGATTATAATGGTGTAAAATGCAAAGCAAATGATATAAACAAGTTGTTCAGAATATAGGTAGTACTCCACTTACGACTAAAATTGCGATCAGAATCTCAGTTGTTGAGCAAAACAGTCATTAAGGGAGATAACTGAGTGGCCGTTTTGCTCAATGACTGCAATCCTGGCTCTCCCAGATGTGATTCTTAAGCAACTGTGTGGGTTGGTAGGCAGACAGAGCAAAAGAGCTGCTTGCTAAAAGAGGGCAGACAGCTCCCCTCTATGCATAGAAGAAAGCTCATGCATTATCTTGGATCTTTGCAATCCTTGCTTCATTTCTCCTGCCCAGCACAGGAGTTCCCTTTCTTGCATGGAGGGATTGGGAGCTCTTGAGCACATACACACACAGAGAGAGAAATACACACAGAGAGAGATGAAGAAGAGGAAAAATCCTTTAACTTGCAATCTTCCTGCCAGCTTCCTCATTGATTTCTGGAGAAGCTGGCAGAGAAGATAGCAAATGGCAATTACATGATTGCTGGGCATTGATATGGGGGCGGCGGGGGGAGGGGGGGGAGGTACAGTGTTTTACAAAGGCTGGTAGGCCCTTTCTGAACCATTGTAACTTGGAACATTTATTAAATGACTGGTTGGACTATCTGTAGGAGGATAGGTATGGCTGCCCAAGCACCTCAAGAGGGTAGTTGGTTGGGAGAACTGTATTATTTCATCAGGATATGTGGCTGAAAGCTTAGCCTGCCAGTTGCCAAGAAAAAAAAAAAAAGAAGAGAAAAGGACTCTTCCGTAACCCTAACTCTTCTCTTGATTCATGGATGCTCTCTTGGCACACCTTGGAATTGATGTCCCTTCCCTTCTTCCCCAATCCTGACAAAGCCATTACAAGACTATTATACCTCCTTCGCAACTGTCACCCACAATTTTTCCTTGAACATCATCTCTTCAGGCTTCCATTCAGCCTTTGTCAGCTGAGCAGTTGTTTGGTCATTTATCAAGTCTATGCATCACCCATTCCAATCAGACTGTTGCTAGACTTCATGCAGGCATACAACACATCCATAGGATAATATGCTAAACATGACATCCTCAGTTACAGAATTTCTAGCAGCTGCCTCCTAGCTGCAGTGGGTTTGTCTCGCTGATGAAGATGTTCAGTATGGGCACCTCAAGAAAACCGAGCAACCCTTGAAAATAATTGGCCATGGAAGCATCAAGACGAAAATGGAGGATGTGAAGAATGAGAAATAGATCTGAAGCCCAGAGGCCAAGGAGCAATAGTAATATTCCCAACAATCCCAATAACCCAGGGGGATTTTGTCCATTTCATTCAAATCTATTGTACCGATATCTAATAAAGCAATATTTTATTGTATTTGCATTTTATTTCCTTACACAGCTAATATTTCATGAACTAATGCATCAACTGCTCTAACTTTATGTTCCTGATTTCTCTGAAGAAACCCTAATACCTACAGGAGTGAAAGAACAGTTTATATCCTTTGATTGATGGACACAGCTCCTAATTATATGTGTTCATGAAGCTAACAGACGTTTGAACTTGGCGTATCAAAAAGTCCATTTTAAACCTTTGAGCCTTAATACAGAAAACTATACCAGTTCATTTTTTTGAAATGTACTAATAATCTTCCTTCACACAAAAAATATTAGCCTGTTAGTATTTATCTGTGATTTGTTTCATAACAATTGCATTTTGTTTTTGAAAACATTTTAGTGAACTTCCTTTGAATATCTGGATTATCTTAAACCAGTAGTTAAAATGGAAAGCCGCTTTTATTTTAAAATCTGTATTCTTGGCAACAAAAGATGCTGAAGTGTTTTTGAAGCACCTGGGATAATCCCATCTTTGAATTATGACTTCCCTGTTTGGGACAATATTCAGGTCTCTTTACTTACGTAAGTAAATTAGGGCCATTTTGTCTCTCTTATTCCTCCAATAATTAGATCCTATCCATTTATCTTCACTCTACTAAACTGAAGTAAAACGTTCTTATTGTGTTCAGACTTACATAAGTAATACTTACCGTATTTTCTGTCGTAGAAGACGACTTTCTAAAGCATGCAAATCGGCTCCGAAGTCGGGGGTCGTCTTATACGCCGAGTCGTCTAATACACCGGAAAATACGATATTTGTGATGCCTTCAAATGTGGTTAGCTAGTTCATGGTTCAATATGTCGTGACTATAGCCTTCGATTAATACTTCTCTCTTTCTATTTTTAGCTCCAGATTTATTTCTAATCTCTTAATCGGGAAATAAATTTCTCCTAACAGCAGATTTAGACAATGAGAATGGACAAAACTGAAATTAAAAAAAAAATAATTGAGAAATACCTGAAAAGAGGTATTAATTTGTTCAGAAAATCTTGAAGTGGGCAAGTGATGCCTTAGGATGAACTTCCATTGCATGCTCAACAGTTATAGAAAGCTGCTTGCCTGCTGGGGGAGAAAAATGGGATGGTGTACAGTAGCTTAAAAAGAGGGTAGCTAATCTGTACTTTGTGTTGTATAAACCTAGCCTCTATAGTTAATTTATTTTGTGTATTGTGAACCTAATCAGGTTAATTCAGTAAAACATGAGTAGGCGCAGCATAGATTAGTACATTGGGGCTTTAATTGTAGCCATTATTCTGCCCTGCCCTGTTTTGCTTTCTGCAGTTGAAGTTGAAAGGTCATCCTAAACTTTATAGCTATCAGGTAAAAGGTACCTGGGAGATTTGCTTATACTCTGTTCCTAAAGTTAACAATCGTCACAGTTATTGAAAATTAAATAAACGGGCACATGAAATGATACGGTTGAACTACAGAAACTAAAGATCAGAAAACCCATAGTTGTTTGCTATTCAGAAAGCATGTCGCTGATAAATAAAAAAAAATTCATTCTGGCATTATCTAGCTTTCATCACCTCATTTGTTTCCTGTGATTGGGAATACAGTAAACTATTTTGATGGGATAATGTGATTACTTTCAGCATTATTGACTGGGATTTGTTTGACTTGTCAAAACATGCTCCTCGAATCGAGAAACCAGATCTTGGGTTTCCACATTACAAACACCATGGTTTGCACAAAGTATAGTTGCTTGGAGACCACCCAGGTTGTTCTGAAAATAACTGACTTTCCTCTGACATTTCAAAAGAAAACTTCCTTAACTTCTTATGTAACAGACCGGGTGGGTGGGAGTTGATTCACTTTGTAGTTAACAATTATGCATTCTACTCACTGATTGGTGCTCTCTCAACTGTATTATCATACATTCATTTTCAAGGGAATAAGGATTAAAATAACTGATAAATGTTCCAAATTAGATTTCTGGACTGTAACTTCTACAGTATTTAAAATAAAAATATGCCCTGTCTTTGTACTAAAAAAAATGCTCAAACTCTTTTGCAGTTGCCTAAAATGATGTACATATATAGCTAGCTGGATATTGATTCAATAAAAAATACAGTTCATCAAAAACAGCACAGTAGATATAGTAAATACAATTTACACATAAAAGGATTAATGATGGTTTAGTTATATCCTTCAACCAACAAAAATACACTATAGTAATTTTGTACTACTCTTTCCCAATTAGGTGCCCTGCAATTTTATGAGAACTATATCTCCCAGAATTTCCAGCTGCTCTGCAGTTGTCTTTCCATACCTTTTGTCATGGATACTTCAAACATGAATTGATGAAAGTAGCATAAATGATACAGAAAATTAAAACCATTGCATATAGATCAAACTTGGAAAAAATAAGCCAAATGCAACTAAAACTTTATTTTGATTAATAGCCTCTCAAAAGTTAATTAGAAAACTATAGTGTCAAATGCACAGGCTACTTGAAATATATAAAGTAGTGGAATGTTCTTGATATAGCAAATGCCATAAACTGAAAATGAGAATTTGACAGGCTGTTTGATCTTGAAATAAAGATGAGTGAGAAATTGCCATTTTTATCTTTCAACTGTAATCAAAAATTCAATTAACATTAGTAAAGGTTTGACTTGAAAGTTTGGAAAAAATGCATGACTACATTATTGCGTGTTTATAAAGAGAATAATAACTTTTTATTATGTAGCTTTCCATTTTCTCAGACCTGCTTCAGTATTTTATATTTATGACATGTAAGGCTTTCCCCCCCCCAAAAAATGAAATTCCACACCAAATCCTACAGCAGCATTCTAAAACAGGTAATAAATACTAATTTCTTGCTTTCTATTTTTGGGGCAAATGTAATCCCATTTCTTTGTGCAGCCAACAGCCAGTAATCCAAATAATAAAAAACTGCTGCATAAAATCTACTGAACTTTTCAAACTTCTGAACACAATAACAATGGCAACAACTACAATTCCACAAAAATTATTTTGACAAGGCATTTTTTTTCTTTTGTCAGTCAGAAATTTACTTACCGAAATAACAGTGCCTCTCAAGTCAACTTTTCAGGTTTCTCCTTAGTTTTTCCTTACAAATATCTGAAACACAGTGATTTATATATCACTTTTTCCAGCTTCTGCTGATTTTATGGTCTTTTTTAGGAGACTCATATTAACCACATAGCTCAAAGTATGCTACAAATGGAACATATTCACTCTTACTGTCCTATTTGCCCTTAATTGTCACTCTGGTCACATTGGGACAGGTCCATATTGAAGGAGAATCCCAAGCTGTTCAGATCTTTAAGGATGGTAAAGAGGACTTTGAATTGGACTTAATAAGAGAGAACAGCACACGCAGATGAATGGCTAAAAAGATCACCACACTGTTCAGAACTAATACCAATTATAATGCAATCAAAGGTTCTGAATAATTGCAGAGCATCTTAGAAAGACACTTCAATGGGTCAAAATGGAGAGATAATTAATATATAGTACGTTATGGCCAGCTCTAGCCACCCCCCAAATCAATGCAGCTAGCTGTAACTTAACAAAAACCCTCCTGGCAACTGCTGCTGCTTGAGCATCTCATGTTAAGATCATCTTCAGAAAAATGGCCAAATACTAGCCTGATCTTCTAAGACAAGTTGAATCTCATCCAGAAGAGGCTAACATTTTACACACACACACATACCCATTATAGATTTTGTCATCAGTTTTGCTACTTTAGCTGCCTTTAATTTAGTTCATTGGCTTTTATCCAATCCATTACTAGTTCCAAGTTGTTCTATGGCCTGCCTAGAATATGACAGAAAAATTATAGTACTACAAATGCTGATTTATCTGGGTGACTTTTTCTAGACATGGAAATTAAGCAGGATTGGTCCTGTTGAGTGTTTGGATGGGAATCCTCCAGATAATGAAAACTCTGGAAATAAAATCTCATCCTGGAAGATGACAATGGTAAACTATTTCCATATTGTTTCCAGTTAAAGATATCAAGTTGTTCATGAATTTGCCAAGAGTTGAGCCCAACGTGAGGAAAATTTTACATTTACTATTTATAGTAGCCAGAGAATATCTGAGAAACTTGATTTACTCTTGCTACTAAACTAACTTTGGTCTTGATATAATCTTTCTGCCATATGAAATGCTGTTGCCCAGAATTCCACCACATCCGGTTGACTAACACCTACTGTGATTCACAAGATTGCAATGTATGGCTTTCTTTAGGCATATCTTTCAAATGTGCTGCTATTTCCTGCCTCTCTACTCAACTGCTCCCTGCACTATTACTTAAGGTAGTAATCAGATGGACTTTGGAGCCTTTTACCATAAGATTGATGTGATCTATGAAGATGTCATTCAGCTGGCAAGGACAGAGTTTAAGTTTGTGCTTTCTTTAAACAGGCCTCCTTCCATTTATAGCTTTTTAAAACAGGTTGATGTGAATAAGACATGATGTCGTGACCTTGCTGAAGCTGAACATATCTGGTCTTGTCAGTACCTGGGTGAGAGGTGATCAGAGAAGAGCAATCCTGAATTACAGAATTGAAGGAAAGTAATGCAGAGTGACTGGTGTACAATAACTAGAGTACAGATTTTAATTTTCTGTAAGAGAGAGACTTCCAGTCAACTCTATTGCATCTTGTAGGCCTTTGGCTTAGGATTTTGGGGGATGGTGATGATTGAAATTGATTTGATTCACGATGAAACCTTGGGGTACATGCCTATCACAATATCAATAATTATAGAGAGCTACTTACCACTTATATTTCACTTTTCTAACAGGAGCTCAAGGTAGCCTACATTACACTTCAACCTCTAATTTTATCCTTATAACAAAGGTGAGATTTAGGTGAGGTTTTCTGACCTAGAATAATTTGGTGAGCTTCTGTGGCTGAGGATGGACTTGAATCTGAGTCAACATGGCCCTGTTCTTACACCTTAATCACTGTTCCACACTAGACTTTCTTTCCTAGCCTGTTGGTTTCCTTTCTTCTCAAATCCTGTTGAACTACCATCTCCCTTTTTTCATAACTTCTGAATTTGAGCTATCATTAGAATCACAGCCTAGTTTGAGTCATAATAACACATACGTTCATACCCATAAATTGTTTTGAAAATGCTGATTTCTTAAAGAGATGGTGCTACAGTAATAACCTACTTTAGAATGGGTTGCAGCTTGGGAAGTTGACTAAATCAAGTGTGAAACATTAATATTTTTAAAAAAAAAACAGAAGAAAGGGAAGATGGTGATTAATTGGTGCACTATCCTTAGTATTAGGGAAGAAGGCTGTCCCCATATTTTTTCTAATAGTAGCTACAAAGCAAGATAAGAGGTGGGAAAATCTAGTTCGTTAGATAAGGAATAGGGAAAAAGCTAATCACAAGGTGTTTTGGAATTATGATGGGGAAATTAATGGTCATCTGAGAGACAGAAAAGAGTGACACCAAGTAGAAATGTATTTATAATAATAATAAAGTTGCACAGCCCCAGCTCACAGACCAGCCAATCAAGTATTGTTTGTTTGCTTAATATATATCCTTGATTATGTATGATCACATGGACTCCCTGCTGTTTACATATGTCCATAAAACAATGAAACATTCATTAATAAGTTTAACGACATACTTCTCTACTCCCCTGCCTGCTACCTTTGGTTTACCCTCCTGACAACATCAAAACTTAAATGCTCCATGAAATAGTTCCATTTTCACTTTCTCACTGAAGGCCAAGAGAGGGCCATCCAGATTTCTTGGGGCAAGCTGTTCCATAGGAATGGAGTACAACATGGAAAACATAGAGCTTTAGAGCAGTGGTTCTCAACCTTTTTAATGCCGCGACCCCCAACCGGTCATAAGTCGAGGACTACTCAACTGGTGCAGCACCGTTTGCAGAATGGGACTTTTGGCGGGCTCAGCAGGGCAGAGACAGCCTGGACAATTCCTATTGGCTTTTGAAAGACAATAGAATAAAAGGGAGTAGCACAGTTAAGGAAAAGGGGAAAAAATGGCGGACTGCGTTGTTTGGCAACCCCCGTGAAATGATCGTTCGACCCCAAATGGGGTCCCGACCCACAGGTTGAGAACCACTGCTTTAGAGGAAGCAATCACTATTTTGAATTGTGTGCAGAAATATGTGGGCAGCCCCAGTGTAACATCTATAACCCCTGCATTAATCATTCTTGCGTCTTTCACCCACCAGAGGTAAGTGTGCAGGAGTGCAATCACTTGGTTGAGTTCACCCACCCAACTCCCCTACAAAAGGAAGATTAACTATTGAAAAATAGTACTTACAACTCCCAACCCTGGCTGCTGGCTCCAAAAAGTCACTGAGAGGTCCAAAAGAATCAGGGAGATCCACCAAGCGTGTTTCTGTTTTGTGTTTAGATCAGAATCCTGAACAAAAGGAATCTCAATAAGTCATTTAACTGGGAATGTTCTTCATTTAAGGCATTTTATGTGAGTTTAGGTCATGTAGGTAGGCAATTTATGTTCAGGAAAGGATGGACATTCATCCAGAATCCACATTCCTTTGTGAGCAGCACTGGTTTCCAGTTTGCTTCAGAATGTGATTCAAGTTACTAGTTGCTACCTATAAAGCCTGCATGGCATAAGGCCTGGCTACTTATGGGACCTCCTGGTATCTGCCGAGCTGGTTCTAACTGACAGGATTGGCTCACTCTGTTGATTAATTAATCAATGCCAACTGTATGAACCCATAAAGTAGCAACACCTGCCCTCCGGAAAAAGGTTCCCCCCTCAGATCCAAATGCCCCTCAGCTTGCTGTTGTTTCAGAGTCCTCAGGCCTTTGGTGAGAGTGATTGAAGTCCTGTTTTTCCTTTGTTCCCATCCAGTTTTCTGATTTCTGTCATTTTTATTCTTTTGTTGTTGTTTTCCTTGTATTTAAATGTTTTAACAATTTGTAAACTGCCAGAGTTTCTGAGAGTTAGGAGGCATATAAATTTAATATATCAGCAGCAGTGTCTTCGCCATCTCTTTTATATACTCTTTTAGAAACGTGCTTTTCTTCCAAGCTCTTGCAAAAATGTGGAAATCACGATCGTCAAATGCCTTCCCAGCTTGTCAGGAGTCTTCTCTTCTTCCCTCTCCTGTCACGTGGTTGGCAAACTATTGTAACCTGCAGCTTGCCACTTGGCTTATTTTGAACTGTTGTCATGAGCAATACTGGAAACATCATACCATTGCAGTGAGGTCAGGGACTCAAACAACATGATAAAATGTTTTATTGGACTCACTAAAATAATGGAATATGAACCTAGCAGTGATAGCATTGTGCTTATCTTATAAATATTGGGAGGGGGGAGGCAGGGCAAGAGTTTGGCATACAATCTATACAATTAGAACTAAGGTTAATGGCCTAATTGTGAGAGAGCAAGGGAGTGTTAAGAACTGTACAGCCCTGTTCTATAGTAAGATGTCCAACAAGGAAATGGTGTCCTGACAAAAAAAAATTGCAAAACTATACTGTAATTTAGAAAGAAAATTTCCAGGCAATAAGAAAAAATATCCCTGACCCTGAATAACACCCCCTTCCCTGCTTGTGGCTTATGACAGGTCAAACGGTATCACCGGGTGTGAAATTAGCAAACCGGAAAGGGCTGTTACTTCTTCCTTTCCTTTCCTTTCCTTTCCTTTCCTTTCCTTTCCTTTCCTTTCCTTTCCTTTCCTTTCCTTTCCTTTCCTTTCCTTTCCTTTCCTTTCCTTTGTAGCTATGGATATTTTTAAGATGAGACTCAGGCCTTCCTGAAGGACAGAGAAATGGTGTCTTTCAGGTGACATTTTCTCAGGTTTTTCTATCCCTTCTTTCATCTGTTTTGTTTCCACAGTTTAGGGAAAAAAACAGTGAAATTGCTGGATAATGCTTTCACTGGGCATAACACTCTCTCTAGAAGCATCTTCTGGGCATGACTGCAGGATACATTTATCACCTGGGTTGGTGAATGACAGTATGTGCACTAGCACTACTCTGTCCCACTCAGTTTCCTAACCACAGTCATGGATTTCCTGAGACAAAGCATCAAGTTTTGCACTCACCATAATTTGAAAGTACAACAGTTGTTGATTCTAGTTCATTCAGTATCCGTGGGAAATGGCAGCTGCTCCAGAATTGGACGACACCCTTAACCACAGGGAAACCACCAGCCATGATTAAGGAGACACAAGACAGAGATGGCAACAAGCATCTTCTCAGTAACCAAACAGAGCAGTTCTACAGCTGACCTTGGACATAAAGATCATGCTGGAGAAATCTTTTTGTATTGAATACTTAGAATAAGCACTATTGGTTATAGAAAGGGTAATTTGTATTCAAAATAAAATGATAAAATTGAATATAAATCATTTTAAGAGTAACATTTTAACTGGAAGCCAGTTGGGTGTAGTGGTTAAGGCAGCAGGCTAGAACCAGATGATTGTGAGTTTTAAGTCCTGCCTAAAACCAGCTGGGCAGTAACTCTCTCAGCCCTTGGAAGAAGGCAATAGTAAACCACTTATGAAAAACCTTGGCAAGAAAACTGCAGGGACTTGTCCCAGCATCTACCAGGAGTAAAAACACAACACAAAAAAATTACTCAAAGGTTCCCCCCTCCAAAAAATTGTTGAAATGATACAAAGAAAAAGATCTTCTCATGACTGCTGAGGCCCACTTGGATCACAACATGCCCATCTCAGCCCAAGAATTGAAAATGGATCCTTTTGTGCTGAGACCTTTACCTGCTGCTGTTTTGGGGAATGGTGATCTAGGGTTTCTGGATAATCATTGGAAATCCCTTTAAATGTGGAACCCTGGACTTTTGTCTTTCTCGCTCTCTTTTTCTAAAGTACTTCTGTAACTGGTGTAAGTGTGCATGGAATTTTGAATCTTTAGTTTGCTTTTGCATTTGGGATTTGTTTTTGAGCAAGTGGCCTGATTTAAAGTTCATGAAAAATCTTAATAATGGCTTAGACACCATAATAATGTGAATCCCAATTCTGTCTTCATGAGCAAAGTTCACAATGATATTTTTGTTAAAGGTCTACACTGCCCTTCAGCTATCCTCCATGACAAAGAGCCTTTCACAGGGGCCTCTCATTGCAGCTCATGTCTGGCACCACTCCATCGTGCTCTAGGATGTCCAAGAAAAGCACTGCCGTGAAGCACATATTGATAAGGCAATTAAATTAGCATTGTTCTTGACAGTCTTGTTCACCTTCTCTCTTTTCCAGGTGAGGAGAGGCTTCATGAGAAGGCCTTGTACCAGCTGCTTCTCTCTATAAAACAACAGCAACAGCCATCTCCTTTTAGTATTCAAATGAAGAATTTTGCAATCACATTGGATGACAAAAATTATATAATAGAATAAGTCTCCTTCATTCTGCCTGCTTTCTGCCTATCACATGGAGTAAGAATGGAGTCAGAAATAGATAGATAAACTTTATTGTCATTTTTTTACTGTGGGCACACTGGCACACATTAAAAATGAAATTCTGCTGTCTGCTCTCAAAAGTGTATGCATACATAACATACAATTTTAAAAGAACTATTATAACTATTATGTTACTAATGCTTTAGTAGATGGAAAACTTTTCAAAGAATGCTTTTGTTTATAATAATAGATTAATTTTTAAAGTGCATATTCATGGAAGAAAATAATAATGTGATTAATTACATGAAGATGAGTTGCACATCAACAGTACTCGGAAACTCCCATATACTGGATATTCCTGTAAAAACAGTGAAATTTGTTCAACAGAGATTGTTTATAAAGGGAACAAATGCCTCTTAGTGGCCAAAAGAATTACTACATTAGTTAACAATGAGTTCAAACTCTTAAAAAGTACAAGCAAAAGGTTTTCTTTTGATTTCCAAAATCTCCATGTTTTGATAAAAACAATTTTAATCCATCGGTAACTCGTTTTAACACCATACAGGAGCTGCTTCTGATCCCTTCAGTTCCTGTATGATTTCACTTTAGACTACGCTACCAAGTCTCCTACCAGTGTATTTCTGAGGTGGTTAGTGGTGGTAGAAAATGCCTCTTCTTCCACAGAGACAATAAGGAAAATATAAAACTCTAGTTATGAACAGCTTAATTTTATTCCTTGCGTTAAGAAACCAAAACAGCATTCTACAAGAATAAATGTGACCAAGAGTAGCTATTGAACTTAATGGGAATGAATCTATCTTTGAATCTTGAGTGGTTTGCTTAGAGACAGCAGTTCTTTCACAACCAACTGAGCAATTTCCTTAAAGGTACTGTATGTTACAAAAACAGAATACATACCAAGTCAAACCAAATGTCCCTTGCAAAATGCCCAAGGTCGGTGAACAGGAACAACATAGCTATGTTTTTTCCCCTTCTCTTTCTGGCATATTAATCTTCAAGGATTGGAACTTTTTTTACCTTTGTTCATCTGAATCAGGCCAGCTCTGTTCTCTTGGCCCTGTAAGCCAAAGTTCTCACCTAACCAAATCTATTAAGTGATCCTCTTGTTGGTGAATCTTGTCAACCCTTCTGTCTTGCCATTGGCTGAGCATGCCAGCTGATGTGTCCTCTTACGTTCTTGTAACTGCAGAGAGAGTAAAATCTTTGTGAGGCAGCTAAGAAAATCCATGCTTTCTTCTTTTTACCTCTTATTTATGAAGGGTCTTTTTTCTCGCCTTTAACTTGAAAGCTTTGTCCCATCTATCCTTTAACATAGAGGTATCAAACTGCCAGCCCGTGGGCCAGATGCGTCATGCCGAAACCGCGCCCATCCCATTGCCAGCAATGGAAAAAAAGTCACGATACGTCACAACATGTCATGTGATGTTGCGAGTTTGACACCCCTGCCTTTAACTCCGCAAACTGCCTCCTCCAGGGCTAACCATTTCCCCCCTACTTTCTTATGCTATTATTCTGCAGGCAGAACTCCTCATCTTTCTATATCTATGTATATGTCTCTTTTTGTGTGTAAAGTCTGAGACTTCCACTTTCACCTCCACATTTTAAATATTTTTTCAAAATATTAAAATATTTCTGAACTTTATTTCTTCTTTCTCTACTCCTTGCAAGACTTACACTGTCTGCAAAGTAACCTCTATTTCTTCCTTTGATCTCTATCAAAGGTATCTTATGCCTTTGTTAATTTTCACAACTCAAAAGTTCCTATTTCCATTGCTTCTGACTTCTTCCAGTTACAAAACTTTGCAACTAGATCTATGCCCACAAGTTCTGCCTTGCTTCTCATGGCAACTCTGCTAGTTGTAACAGACACAAGAAGTCTGTTCCTTTCTATGTGATTCTGGTGAAAACACATTTGTAGTATTATTATGGGCACCACATTTCCAAAAGGTATAGAAAGGTTGGAAGAAGTCATCAGAAGTGATACAGGGACTTGAAGATATGCCTAATGAGGCAAAATGAATCTGGGATGTTCAGTCAAGAACAAAGACAGAAGGGAGAAATGGTAGCCATGTTTTTTCAGGTTCATAAGGAGAATCTACAGGGAATATGGTCAACAACTATTTTCTATAGACAGAACAACTAAGACTGGGTATTATAGTGGGTATTATATGCAGTTATGTATATATCTTTAATACATTCCTGACCTTAAGATTTCTATAAAGTGGAACAGTCTCCCTGTAGAAGTTGTAGGTTCCCCATTTCTAAAGGTTTGTAAGAAGATACCAGAAGGCTGCCTTATGGATGGACTGATTGATTTTCCTGCACATTGCAGAGGGTTAGATGTTTTTTAAGGTTTCCAGAACTACAGTTTCATGGTTATATAATTGCTATTTGGGGGCAGATAGCCATTTCTTTCTTTAGACTGCAATCCTTCCCATTCTGAATATTTAAGTTTCTTCAAGGTCAGCAACCACTCCTTGCATTACATGCTCAAACTTGACAAACACTTGTTCATTTTCGGCAGCAACCTTGGCTTTTACTGTTGACTTCTCTTCCCCACCCTTCACTGGGATCACATGATTGCCCTTTCATTATGCTTTTAGAAACTCTTTCCAGTTAGGTTCTCCTAGCATGACATTCTATTTATCATTGCTCTCATTTATTAAATGTGTTTTTGAAGTCACAGATACAACACTTGCCCACACTTAGCTCTAGTTTTGCTTATTGTAAAAATAATGTAAAATGTAAAAAAATGTAATGTTAAAAAAAAATCCAGCTTTATTGATCATTTCCCCCAAAGTTCTTACAGGACTAGGGATGACATGATAGCCGTCTTCCAATATCTAAGGGGCTGCCACAAAGAAGAGGAGTACAGCCTATAATCCCAGGGCTTTTTTTTGTCATAGAACGCCCAGAACGGAGTTCCGGCCCCTTTTTTGAATGGAACCTTGTAGGGTAGGCAAGGCGGGTTGTATGATGCGTGTGAGTTCCGGCACTTTTTTTTTTTAAAAAAAAGAAAAAAAGCACTGTATAACCCAAAGGACTGGAGGGCAGGACAAGAAATAACAGATGGGAACTTATCAAGGAGAGATCCAGCCTAGAATTAAGGAAAAAATTTCGGACAAGTCAGAACCAGTGGAAAGGCATCCCTCCAGAAGTTTTGGGTACTCCAACGCTGAAGTTTCTAAGACGAGACTGTAATATGTCTGGAATCGTATAGGGTCTCTGCTTGGGCAGCGGTTAGAAGACCTCCAAGGTTCCTTCCAATCCTGTTAAGTAATTACGGCGACACATTAGAGCTAGTGTAAGAAGAAAATAAAGCACACTGTAAAAATTAATGACGAACCACAAGGAAGTGCGTTTGAAGAAATTGTATTTTCAAAAATACCTTCAGGCGGGGGAAAGCGTTGAAATATCGATCCGTCAGATATCGACCACCTATCGATTCTGCTAGCCAAGCGAACTCCCCAGAGAACATTTTAACCCCCTGTTCTATCAATCAGCTCATCCGCAGGCTCCTCCCCCCCCAAAAGCACCTATCAGTGGTGAGAGTCTTTCTCCAGGACACGCCCTTTTCTCTCCCGGCCAATTAGGCTTTACGGCTGCGAGTAGAATGTTGTGATTCATTGGTATTCTTAAGGCGGAGAAGCGCCGAGCGGCAATTGCGCGATTTGAGTTGCAGTGTTGCTAGGCTACGGGGCTTCCCTGCAACACAAATCCGCTTGGGACTGGCGTCCGGAGAGCAGAAAGAGACAGGAGGCGGCAAGCGCTCTTCCTCCCCCCCCCTCGCCCAATCAACCCTTTCCTTCTCCCTCTAGTATTCAGCCTAGGGA